CCTCTGTCAGTGCGCCCCAGGGTGGCTGTGGCTACAATGTAGCTGCCATCACCAGTGTGTGAATGACTGAATGTGTAAAGCACAAGTTGTATGAAGCAATTTGAGTGCTCAGTTATAGTAGAAAGGCGCTATGAACCAGTCCATTTACCATGAATATACTTTTGCCTTTGTTACAATTTGTCAGCCAGACGCAACTTTTTTACATTAAACAAAACAAAAAGTAATTAAGCAGTGTTTTGGATATATCTCTATATACAGATATATATAGCAAGAGAGAAGAGAGAGAGATATTCTTTTGGGTGATTACTATGCTTACAGTCTGGTGAAAGCGAACCTTTAGAAAAAGAGCTGAACAGCTGTACATTAGTGACTAGATACTTGAGTTTTGTCCTTGATCTTCGCCAGGTGTGTAAGTCGCATTTACCTAATCATACATCATAAGTCAAAGAGTCATAGTCATAAACTTTGACTAAGCACTTGTTATGTAAAATTCACATGCACATCCCCACAGATGCATCAGGAAAAACTCGGGGCTCTTGCGCAAGGATACTTCCACACATGGAGGAGTCGGGGATCAGTCCACTGATGTTCTGAGTGGCAGACAACTTGTTCTACCAGATACTGGCCCCTGCTATATACTGGCTATTTTTAGAGGTGGGTATCTTCTATTGATGACAGATTTTCACAGTTGGAGCTTATTGAGTGCACAACCTGTCAGAAGGCTGAGAGACTGGTGCGTGGTGTGGTGTGGATCCAAAGTTTTCACAAGAATACAAGGCTTTATTGACTCAGGAATCAGGAAGGGAGTGAGTATTAGATTTGAAGTGAGCTGAGTATTTACTAGAGATAATGCTTACTGAGAAAGCAGGGGGTAGTACTCTCTGAGGGGGAAGCAACCACGGGAGTGTCAAGGCGTGAGATGAAGTAGGCAAACCAAGATGTCTGACCTTTTGTGCAGTGATCTGGTGGTAAGCAGTGAGCAGGAAAAAACTAGATGGAGGGAAGTTCATAGTTTTACAGTAGCAAAGTATACAGGGCAGCAATAAATAAATAAATGTAGCATACTTTAGAAAATATATCTATATATATCTATTAGGGGTGCAACGATACACAAAATTCACGGTTCGATATTTTTTCGATACAAAAAAATGTTCATGCCTTTTTAATTTGTCATTTATTAAAATTATAAATATATATTTTAACTCAAAAGTACAGTTTTTAAATTTAATGTTGCTGAAACAACAAAGTAATAAAAAAA